AAAGGGATCAAAAGAGGCGGGAGACGCTAATCGGAAACCCATGTGATCGCATGGCTTCAGAAACTAGCTGCTAGGTTGGTTTCTGAATTTTGAATCTCTTGAACCATTTCACGAAAAGTTCACAACTTTTAATAAATGGCTGGCTTGATTTCATGGTGTATGATTGGAATACTATAAATATGAGTTAGTATTCCATTACCAAAGAATGAATAACACAAAAAATCCATATTTTTACTCCAAATCATCAAAGATCATATCAAACACTTTCAAGTTTTCTTTAAGTTCAATTTGTAAGTTCAATTTGAAAGAATTACTTGTGTTTTAGTATTCTTTCTTTAGGTTTGATAAATCGTACAAACTATTGTCATTTGAGTTATTAAAAGCATTTGGAGAAGATGCAAATATCGTTTGAGGACAACATTCATCGACGTGATCAAGTCTTGCAAATCCATTCCATTTGGTGTTTCCATCTTCATCTTCTCATGTTCTCCTTTGTTTTCCCGACATTTGATGCCATATCCCACCAGACATCTTTGATCCATTATCCATTGGGCGAATACATGCACTGCTACTCAATTATATCATGATGAAGAACCATGCAAAGTGACTGTTTGGTCACTTTGATGTCAAAAGGAAGGATCTGAATGTCTACAATCAAAGGCCGGTGGAGAGGGGGCAGTGCTGGACTATAATCAAAAGGAATAAAAAAATTAGCCCATCACAAAAATTAATTTTAGCACAACTAAGTCCATTCCCAACCTAAGCACAATATTTAATTATCCTAATGAGAATTTAGTTTGAAATCCTGATTGGGCCCCATTATTTGTGTAGAATGCATTTTTTAATAGTAGATTGATGAAAAATGTGTGATTCAAAATGAAAGAAAAGTTTTTGGCTTGTGCATAATATTATTTTATTGAAGAATGTGTGATTGAAAAGAAGATGGACAAAAATATATTTTGAAAAAAATAGGATCAAACAAGGAAAAAAATAATATTTTAAATAGTGATTGTTAGGAGAATGTGTAATTAAAAAGTATGAAAAACTTCTAGATTTACGATCAAAATATTTTATTGTGTAAATTTATAATTGAAAATGAGTATGTAAAAAAAATAACTTTCGAAAAATGGTAGTCAAATAGGGACTTAATGATTTTAAGAAGAACATGAATTTCGCAGCCACAGTCGAGATAATGATGATTTAATTTATTTTATTTTTTTTCCCAAAATGCAAATCCAATTAATAATTTGTCTCCCGTGTTGTTGCGCCCAGTTTACATAGAATTTTAAATTGACATTCGCCCCCAGGACACATCTCCAAGTGGTAAAAGAGGAAGGTGGAAAAACACAAACTTTGTTTGAGGCTGCCGAATCAATGGTTCGAATCCTGAAATATGGATTTGGCCCTTGAGTAAATGCAAGTGTACAAGTAGTCTTCCACCCTATACCCTTGGAGGCATAATTTGCGATTTACCTCCTTTACCAAGGCCCAGAGTAGGGCAGGTGGGGGCCGCTAAGGATGCGGTTCATCCTTTAAATTGACATTCATTTTGGTATTGTAATTAAAGCAAGCGTGATATTAGCCTTCTTTATTTTTCAGTTACAAATTGTAATTGAGAAATTACAGGAACTAGGTAGCAGTATGTTGTGACTCGAACCCTTGACTTAAGTGTGCTTCCAACAATTAAGCTAAAAAATCGTGCTTCTGAAATAACACTTTCTTAAATGTATGTTAATTGCTGGATTGTTAACATTTGGCAACTTGGTTACTGTTGATTAAAGTTCTAGATGGTTCTGATTATTATCTTTCACTTGGTGCACTGTTTGGCAGATTGAGTTGTGTGGGTTTTCGTTAGTTCCTCTACCTTCTAGAGAGAAAATCTCATTCTTTGATTAGGGTTTCATATTCTTGAGTGATTAGAGTGTGTAAATGTTAGAATCTCTTAATTGTACTTCTAATTGTGAGAAGTGATACATTTCTGAGTGATTTGTGTAATG